GATCCGGCACTTGGAGTCCTTGTAAGCGGCGCGGGCCCCGCACCCCGGCCCGGAGCCCTCCCGAGGCCCCGGCCACCCCCAGCTCTCTAGGACTCTGAGGGCGCAGCTGGAGGTGGCCCGTGGGGCTCGGGCTGGCCCCACACTACGTGTGCCCCCTGCCCGGCCAGGCCACTTGGGCCCCCAGCCAGACCCTCCACAACGGAGGACACGGAGCATGGGACTGCTCCCGGGGTGTGCGCCTGCAGCAAACCAGTGCTATCCTGTGGGGCCAGTTGGGGGGCCCCAATTCGGCCCCATGACCCCCATCTCCCTTGTGGGTTTGATACCCCTGATTTAGGCCTGTGTCACACCGGGCCTCCGGCACGTGCCATGACCTGGACCAGATCTCCAGGGCTGGCCCCTAAAGCAGTTTCTCAACCCGTGGGTCGTGACCCAAAAATAGGTCGTAGGAAAATATGAAAGGGGCGTAAGGAAACGGGCACCTTGTGTAATGCGCCCCAGGCTGGCTCTGCATGTGAGCCCTGGGCGGCGTGCGCTGGGCACGGAGCGTGAGACTGGTCCAGGGCATGTGCTGTGTGAGGTGCCTGCACCAGACCAGCTCTAGTGTGTGGGGCTGTTTGATTCAGCCCCACATCCCTCCTCTGACCTGTGGGTTTGACACCCCTGAGTTAAGCCTGTATCACACTGGGCCTCCTGCATGTGCTGTGACCTGGACCAGATCTCCAGGGCTGGTCCCTGAAGCAGTGTTTCTCAGCCCATGAGTCACAGCCTGAAAGTGGGTCGCAGGGATATATGAAAGGGTTGCAAAGAAACTTAAAAAATGGATTCAACTTTAAAGGAGAAAAACATGGGAAACAGTGGGTTTTCCCTGCAGGCTGGCAGAGTTCCAGCCTGCAAGGGGCTGCTTTGGGCTACCTGTGCCCCAGACACTCACCCCCTGCCCCACACACACTGGGGCAGGGGGCAGTGGGTCGGGAGCGAGGGGCACTGGGTCAGGACTGGCCATTGACATTTACAAATGGGTCCTGATACAAAAAAGGTTGAGAACCACCTGCTCTAAAGCACCTGCCCCAAAGTGTCTTGTGTGGGGCTGAGACTTTGAATCGCAGTGGAAAACATGTAACCCTCTGTGATGCGTGTGCTGTGTGCCAGGCTTCAGGTGT